AAACGAGCAAACGGAGCTGTCCACAAACTCGAATGTGAACTGTACTGGTTTGCATAATTTAAGGTTAATGAGGAAACAACAGCAGATAAAATCTCCCTCGCTTTATCCCGGCTGGCTTTGCTCTACCGGGGTGAATTCATTAAAAAGGCATCAGAAGCAGTGCTTTAATGACCTGTGAATTCATCAAAGTTTCACCTCATTTTATATTACATCACATACATGGATGTGAGAGTCTACTTCCTTTTCAAAGAGATGCTCAGTCTTATTTGGCTTCAATGGATCAGCGGAGCAAACATGCTGTAACTTCTCCGCCTCTTTCCAACCAATTTTCTAATGTTGCCATCCGCTTTATGCTCACATACTGTGAGGTTGCATACATATTAACAGAGATAGGTTTCCACTAAGTGCTGATGGTAATACATAAATATAAAAGAAGTTCTTAATTGTCTTTGAAAGAAATATTAAAGGCTAAAAGAAGAAAGCCAAGTAGTCATTAATACAGTTTATATGCCACTTATCACATGAACAGATGCTACAGAATGTCCAGCACAGCAGGAAAGAAATCATATGCATTACTGTTTCCCACATTTTTGTATATGTATGAATGTTGAATATGAATACACAAAACTTTGACTCTTAATGAGTGTTTCAGATGCAGAGGCAGCCTTTGGCCCTCTCTCAGTTATCCTTACAGAGGTAATTGGACAGAGGGATACACCGTTCTCCTCTCCAACAGCCACGTCTCCTCACTCCCCTCCCTTCGCCCAGTGTGCCTAATCACACCTCCATTTGCATGAAGAGCCCCAAAAATCAGCCTCAATAACGCCGCGCTGCTTTGAAAGATGAGTTTTTAATCTCGGAGAGGAGATGAGTTTCTGACCCGCACCTGTTTGTTTCCGTAGTTCCTTTTTCCTGTCGTACAAAAGTGACCTGCGGGTAAATTTGCAGAGGCAGGATTGCTGCTCGGCTCCCTAAGTACTGTCATTGTGCATTCATTAATATCCCCATATCTGACATGGCGGGGAAAATGGTTCTTGGCGAAAAAGGGCACTTGTCGTGGTAGGTGAGACTCCCTAACAGGCAATCAGATGGGCTGACAGCGAGTGTCAGCCGGTGCGTGTGTTTGTGTGTACGTGTGTGTGTGTGTGTGTGCAGGCAAAGGAGAGGGCTGCCTTCTTGGGGAGAGGTGTGGGTATTTATTCTTCTCCCATTGCCCTCTATTGACCCATGTAATGGAGAATTTTACAAGGGGAAGTGTTTGAAATATCCTTTGGTTGTAGGTAATGTGTTCATCTAAGATGCGGACCCTGCTTTCATTCCTACGCTATGTAACTCTCTCTCTCTCTCTCTCATGTACTGGCTTGGGGAGTAACGGATTACATGTAACTGTGTTATGTAATCAGGATAGAAAAAAAAGGTAAATGTAAATCAATTACAGTTACAGAAAAAATAGGGATTATTTAGCAGGATTATGATTT